ACATCGTGCGGACATTCCGTGTCCCCACGTTTACTTTCGCTTTCATCGAGAGAAGACACATCGGTCCGCTAATTGGCTTCCCGAAGGCTTTCACCAACTGGTGTCATTTCGCCTCTCCGATTCTAGTGAGGAATAATTTTGTTATTATTTTTTATATTTTGTTTGTGCTTTGAAGTTTCTTTGGCGGTTAGATTTGTTTTGCGGAGTAGGGTTGCTAGCCGTATGCCCAACCTTCCCTCTTTACCCGGGCTTAGGACCAGCTAGTAACTAGTGAACTAGTTAATCAGGCGAGGTTCACTTATGTATTAGTTACTGCTAAGACACATGAACAAGCTGCAGATAGCTATTGAAACAATCATCTGGAAATCGGCGCGAGGTAAATCAGCGGTGAATAATGCTTCAGGACTGGTCTGCTGCAATTACTCCCAGTTTAATGATAATGAGTGCAGTGATGGAATGTGTCGACCACTTCATTTGCATGGAAAGTTACTTCAGCCTGAACGGGTTGGTTGCTGACGATATCTCATCTCGGATACAGAACTCTGTTTGCCTATTACCAACTGACGTCATCTCCGGTGCCGACGAGAGAGATAACCGACTATCTATCAAAAGACGAGTGTACTGCGCTGCATTCCGTTTTTTCCTGGTATGCGACTGAGACATGGCTGTTAAAAGTAGAAGACATGGAGTGATTAAAGATTTATATTCACAGATGTCTTCACAGCTTTGCTCGCATTCGGTGGAATCAGCGTGTGATCAATGTTTAGGTCGAACGAAGTCAACTAAGGAAGTCGATTGATGAGATTGTGAACGTTCATCGGCTGAGGTGACTTGGATATATAATGCGTATGCCGAGCCATCACCTACCATGCCATTTTGGCGGGAGTTGGATTAGGTTGGAAGAGGGTTCAGGGTGGCGGGATCAAGACGTGTAACCAGTCGACGAAGTCTCTGACTGTTGGTCTGAGTCGTGCGGAAGATGTAGACTTTGATAAGCTAGTAAGCACCTACACAAACTTAACTACAAAAGATGAATTAACCTGCAGAAAGCTACATAGCATTGCGACTCAAAATGCACTGATAATCGCATAGATAAAAGTGGAGAAGGAATTATTTCTAAATATGCATTGTTTTGAAACTGTAACTGTGTGTAGTATCGATAGTTGAATACTTCTACTAACTGTAGCCAAATGCATGCGTGATACTAGGTGATTGATTCATTCGGCTATATCTTTGGGGATATAAAGTTATGTTTCGCAATTTTTTCTAAAAAATGTTATGAATAATACCTAGTTTGATATCATACATTTGATGTACCTAATACACAAAGTTCTCATTAACTTGGTTGTTTTTTCAGCAACCACTTGCCAGGAAAATAGTTTACTGGTATGCAAGGTGTAGAAAGACTGACTTCAATCTGAACATATTTTAACTAAGATACGATTACAGGGATCACTGAGGCATCTGTGCAAGTAGCCCAAAAAAACTGATCAATTCACTTTCGTATATGGTCAACAAGAATTTGAACAAATTAGAAATTATCAGCTAATTAGGAAACACTTTTATAAGAGACAGGGTGGGTGATGCAAATTTTGGAAGCTGAGTCCACAGCCATCTATACCTAGGTATCATAATCCATTTACAAGTGATTTCGCCTACAACTAGTCGAACTTGTGTTGCTTAGTTCATTTGAAATTTTAGTCTGATACATCTCTAAAATTATTTTCGTACTCGACTGAAAGATATTGTATAAGATTCGGCATCCACCTCATCTTCTTTCCCACTTATCACGATGTTAAATTTTCCACCTGAGATATTTCACTGGTCACTCTGCATTCATTAGTCATACCAAGACGATCTTCAAATTCTGGTAGTTCGACTCATTGACCATGAGAAGATGCATCAACTCCCATTTCTCTCTTCGTTTCATTAAGAAATAACAACCTATAGAATTTTTCTATATGGTTATTAGGTTTATCTTAGGTCAGTTTTAAAAATAAAAGTGATCAGGCTTAAAATTCCTAAGAACATCATCGGTTAGTATACGACAGAAAGGTAACAAAAACGATATTCTTATTGTTTATACTAAAGATATGAGAATGTCGAAGTATGCTTTAAAAAAGGAGGAACAAGTTTAGGTTAAGTGTATAAAGTCAATACGTTACCCTAAATTATAAGTGTTTAAATATGCCTATTATGAACTGGCTGGTGATTCACATCTGTTGTGAAAGACCTAACAATATTTGTTGGCTGTTCAAATGTTAACAGGTAGACTCTAATCGAAACATTTGATCGAGTAGTAGGGTATAAAATTTTTAAAAGTTCAAATTACGGCAAACCTTATCAACAAATTAGAGAGATACTCTGATATGCTCATCTTTTTGTATTGGCTTCAATTTGTTTCACTTTTTAAGGGTTCATTTCATACAGTTTTCAGATTCGGATACAATACGAGAGAGAAATAAGATCAGCTTTCTTGTATTTACTGTCAACGGGATAAGAAAGTAACCATTCAAAGTGTAGATGTTTACACTTGATGACTTGGTCTATGATGCTTATTTGTTTTATTCGGAAACCAATATTTGAATGTGCTTGTATCCATGTAGTTTTGTTTTTCTGTTTAGACCCTAACTATTCACGTAGGTGATGAGTTCCTGATATAATGACGTGCTTCCTTGAAATTGCCTACGATTACTGTTGCGTTAAGTGTTCAAAACTGTACATGATTAGTGCACACACTTTAAGTTGACTTTTCTAAGTGAAAAAATACTTTAGTTCGAATAAATGTTTTGAAATTTCACCTACTCCATAAAGCGAGATTTCTCATTTGGATTCACGCAGATGCACTGAATTGTTGCAAAAGAGATTTAGTTATCCATACGAAAACTCTTTGTAAAATCATGGAAGATTCCTAACTTCTTGGATGTTTAATGCACATTCTTCTTAAGATAAACAAGCGTTTTGTCGTTAAAACTGCCCTTTTACGTTTCATTAAATAGCTATAAAGGTACTTCGAAATACAAGCAAAGTTCGTACCAAGTATGAAGACAACAAATATAGTAGATGCTTCAATTTCTAACTTCGGCTTCATTTTTAGCCATTTTTGATATATATCCATTCCATTTTCATAGTGGTTAAGTAGTTTTTCCAGTCACCTGATCTTCTAGTGCATTTTCTGGTACTAATATAAATAAAATAAGGTCACATATTGATTTTGAACAAGGATTTAGTAACCCACGCAATAGGAATAACGATCGACGTGAATGGGTGTTTGTCGTTCATTCCCGTGACCTACTAAATACAATAATCAAGCGTTTAAATAAAATCTGTTTTCATTGTCACTATTTCGCTAGCTGAAATTTATGATAAAGGTTACCACTTATCTGAAATGAAAGCAGAACACAGGCAGAAGTTAATTTTTTGTAGGAATACAGAAATTCAAATTGAATAACAATCTAGCTACTTGTGATTCGTATTCTGGACATCGTACCATGTGGTGTAACAAATCGTATGCTAATCAACTTGATGAGTTGTTTCCTTGTTCTAGAGGATATGCTTACAAGCCTTGAATTATGACCGCACATACGGTGTGCTTTAAAGGCCACCTTAGTAACTACTGAACTAACCAATCCGGCCTCGATATTTTGCCTGGGAAGGTAGTTTTTCATAGGATGAAAAACCGTAATTGGTTGTCACAGTAGTTGTTAGGATGGCCTTTAAACTCACTCCTATATTAAGACTACAACAACCATCTTGTTCCTGCCATCTTTCACAGTAGTTACGTCCAACATTATAGTAAACGAAAACGCGTATAACTGTTGGAACATTGACTAATTGTGATTTGAAGACAACTCAGTTGCGTTCTAGATTTCTCGAAAATTCGAATTGATAAATGCACTCACTATTCAGTGATGATGATTAAAATTATTTTTAGTCAAGTGAGATTTTCTTAGGAATGGGTTTTACAAAGTCTTACCTAAGGGGTCACCGTAGATGGTATGGAAATAGGTGCTCATTGATGATACGGAATGATGGTTTCTTTCCATCAAGAACTGATACACGTTGGGAAGCATGAGTCAACTCGATCGATGGCTGGATGGCATTATACTCAATTTAAGGACCGATGATCTTGAGATTGATTTTTCACGACACCATAGGAGCAGACTGCTGACGAACTGAAACGAAAAACTAAATAGCTGTGATGTATCTCCTATTTCTCAACCGTTCACTGGCTGATGCTGGTTCATTGAAAAAACTGCTCTGAAACTAAGAATCAATTTTTCTTAATTTATCTATGGTATTGTTTCTGAGGCCTTTAAATCAGAGTAATGCCTAGTTTCGGTAAACCGAATATGTATAAATCTCATGCTACAACTAACAGAAGATGTAATAAGCGAGATAATTCAGTAACCAAATGAACAATGATCGTTTTTTGAAGCAGTAAGTGGTAGTTTTGCGTCTTAGTGGGAACATTCACACTCTGGACTACTGACACACTACTGATTGAAGAGTGTGACATGAAATGAAGTATGCATCACAGACTTCAGTGTTAGCCCCCTAATAAGCACATGTAGTATCACGTTGATTTGGAGTGACTGAAGCAAGGAGGTAAACGAAAACATACCTGTCTTGGGTTAGCTCATCATCTGATGAAAAAGAGTTACAGAAGACAAAAAATAAATTGGACTGAATTGATGGTTTTTAATGTTTAAGACCCTAAGAAAGTGACTGTACAAACCTATCTTGCGGAAACAACGAGAACCGCTGATTTCTTTGGCATCAATGACATCACCTATAAAATCCACAGTTCCTTGAATGGCTAAAATCCTAAGTCATTGGTCTTATGAATTAATATCACATCTTCCTGTTAAATAAAAATTATTTCAGATGACAAAGAAAATGTTTAGTTTTTCTCTTTTCTTCTTACCAATTGGTTTATCTTTTATTAAATAACACAATTTTATTTCCAACTGTTTGTCTGTTTCTACAAAACCTATCAGTCGAAAGGTATGGAACCAGATTTTATGTACTGCTTGGAGTTTTTGGAAGAAGGTGGTGTTTGTGTTGTTCCCGGATCCGGTTTCGGTCAGATGCCAGGAACTTGGCATTTTAGGCAAGTTACTTTTTGTTTGAAATAAAGATTTTATCAGATTTCCCGTCATATACATGGTGATGATTTCGAGAAGACTGGAACTTTACTATTATATACCTTTAAAACTTGGACATTGTGGCAGAAATATAGTTTCTTTTTAGTTTGTTTAGAGGATGCATCGCGCATGCAACTAAGATATCCCAGAAACTGTGAGTGGCTCTAAAAGCCACCCTAGCTACCACTTAGATAACCAATTGGAGTTCTGTACTTTACTAAAAATTACCTTTCAAGCTGAAATAAAGAAACCCAATCGATTATCTCAGTCGTTGCTAGGGTGACTTGTAAAGACACTCGAAACCTCACTTAGGATTCTCAATAAGGATTGATGATAGTTCCATACAAACTCACGAGCTAACTTAGAAATAAACTTCGTTGGTTGAAGGATCCTATCAAGCCAATTGGGCAGGGTTTGTGTTCACTGAATAACTCATAATGACTGTGAGGCCAAACACAAGCCGAAATAGTCGTCCAGTTTAAACTAGGCTGTCCTAACGCCAGACACTTATTTGCTAAGATTTTAAACCCTCGTAAGAAAAGGAATCTAGAAAAGTGTCTTGTTATAGCTGTGCTTATAATAGCGTTCAAAGGATGGGACAATGTGACATGCCTAAGAGTTCATTTATTTGTTTTGTGTGAGAATGATAACCAAATCCCTGTTTATGGAATGAACATGAAATACATTTGATGGTAATGACTCAGCCCTTATTCTATGTATACAGGCAATTCTACTGCTGGCATCACGAACAAGAAGAAAACTATAACTATGCCTCAAATTTGAGCAATAGACTTGACATAACTATGGACATTGAATTGTTTCCTAAACGTTTTTCAGCGAACAATACTGTTCCATTGTGTGATATTTTGTATAACACTCGTAATGAAAACTTTTCGAATCGGTGAATATAAATTTTCCATTTTGATAAGTTTACGCCTCATCTTGAACTACATTCTGAACATCTGTTTATATGGCTAGCAGCTATGTTGATAAACGTGTGCAGGTTCTATCTGCACTCTTTTCGAGAATAAAAAGTAGCCGTGTGTGACGAAATATAGAAAATAGACAATGAAATTTTTTTCTGTTGATTAACTCGCCGATCTTATTTTAGTGTGTATATTTTATGTAGTACACAGAGACATGGTTTGCTGAATGACGTTCTGAACGGTTAATTGTCTATAATCATACTATTTGCAGCTGATCTTATTTGGTTATGGATGATAAATTGTATCCCCTACGTCATCAATGATGTAATACTGTATTATTGTGCACTGTATTAGATAAATAAGCTGATGTGAAGGTATTCTGTACCGTAGGGTCGTAAAAATATACCAATCCTAACCAATCATGTCAATAAAAGTGTTTCGTAAAATACATTCTGCATCCAGAAATTTGATAGATTTTTCTCTACCTCTTTTGGTACTTCTGACTGCACAGTCATTGGGCCTCATCATCGACCTCATGAACATTAATTTTCAAGCAGAACGGATCACAAGTAAACTAACGCACAATATATATGGCTCATTTCCTACTGCATAAATTTGCTCAAGGTTGCTGAGTGGATTTCGGTTCAGTTTGGTTGTGATAATTCTTCAACGGGTATCCATCTTTGAGGGTTAGTATTTTCTTGTGCTTAGTTGGTCTTTTGTTGTAAGAACGCTAGTGTTTTTTGTAGGCAAAAACATGTCTTACCATATTGTATAATAGTATCTCTTTTGTTTTACAGAATCACAATCCTGCCTAAAATTGAAGAAATGAGGTTGGTTATGAACCGTTTAGAAGATTTCCATTCAAATTTCCTCAGAAAGTACTCTTGAATGATGTGTTTTCGCTTGACAAGCATGAAAGAATCTAAATGTGTATAGCCCATATCATCTGTCTGTTCATCTATCTATTTACTTCTGCCATATTTTTCCTTCAAATTGATGTGTATTTCCTATGATTGGTCGTTAACAATTTTCGATTTGCCTTTGTTACCGTTTCTTGAATATGATTTGACATTTGTTTTCATATTTATATATATTACTCAGGGACAATATGGATGACTAAATTATTGATTAATTTGTGATTCATCTACATGATTCCTGCTTATTCTATTCTAATACCCTGTAGCTCTTATTTCATGCGCATAATAGTCGACTATCACAGACTGCATTTTCCTCTTGATAACCTTAGTTACTACCACTTTATTACCTTCCACTTTTTACCACATAAGTCACTGCTTCAGCAGTTACAATTTTTCCTAAATGTGTCGCCCATCCGTTCTGTTTTTTTATTCATGAATTGAAATCAGTTCAAGGGAAGGAGTGCTGATTAAGAAGTCGTAGATGGTTGTTAAATTATAGAGTTTGCAAGTCTTTTTTATTCATTTTACCTGTGGGTTGGAAAAGTTGATTTTCACATTTCGTGGGGAATTATAGTTTATCCACTGGTCTTCTATCGTTATTTATCGCGAATCGATAGAAGTAGGTAAATGTGAACCATTGGGTTTCGACATAGTGTCACAATGGTATCGTGCTCTCTACGGAACCTGAACGTCCTGGGTCCGATCCCTGACGAGGTCGAGGATGCGTACTGCTGAAGAGTCTCAGACTAGGATGAAACAGCTCTCCAGTGCTCCCAGATTTTCCAACTATGTCAGTCCATGGTGAACACCATCTTGAAATAAATAAATCCCCACAAACCTGCAAACTGAATACAATAACCAGGTTTCTAATAAATTAAGCTATGAATTTATTCAGTAGAAAAATATGCATATTTTATAAATATGAAGATGATTTTGCACTAACTGTTTTTACCAGATTTGAAGTAACAGTTTACAATCCTGGATTTAAAAAGCGTTCATTTGAAATCGGAATTTTTCATTTCTCTGGTGTTAACTATTTTACCATCCACAAAATCACCTACAAATCAGCTGTCAAATACACTAAGTAAACAGATTTATCTGTTCACACTAATGGTGTTCTCAAACTCAGCTTATGTATTATGTGAAAAAACTAACATAATCTTTCCTACAGTCTTTTCATTTTCACTAAAGCACCGATGAGACGCCAAAAAAAGTGTTGTATACCTATCATACTTGATGACCAATAATCATACACAACAATAGAAGCTGAATCCAAGTCTGACTGAACAAGAAACAAGCTAAAAATATCGATCTTTACAAAGCTTGAACAACTAGCATTGTGAAATAAGTAGAATTCATTTCTTGGGCTGTAAATCTTCTACATACTCATCAGACTTAATTTTGTGTCCGGTTAGCTATCAATTCCCAGTATGTGTGTCATTTGATACATTTCAATTTATAACAAATATACCATTCATTTCATCAGTACGAATATATGGAAATAGACATGAATAACAGTGTTCACGAGGGAACCAACCAATACAGGGTATAATTAAAATTCTTTTTTTTGAAGATCGATCAGTAAACAATGACGTAATTGTAGTTCGACAATGGAAGCTGAGTGACGCCTTTGAAGTGAAGGCAGGAGTAAGACAAGGTTGCTGTCTACTATCACCCATGATCTTCCTGGTTGTTGTCGACTAGACTGGACTGGATCATGCAGCAAACTGTGAGGAGCGAGAAGATGAGCATATGCTGGAGCAATGAAAAGACCGTACAAGATTTGCATTTAGCCGATGACTTTCGTCTGATGTCTTGTTGCAGAAACTCGAAGATCTACAGGCGAAAACTAACAAGTTGACAGAGAAGGCAGGGCAGCGAAGACGGGACTTCCAGTGAATGTAGAGAAGACATAGGTGATGAAGATACCCAACCAACAACAGCATCAACAACAAGCACCAACCACCATGAACGGGAGAAACCTAAAAGAAGTTGTCTATTTTACCTACCTACCTGGGCAACATCGTTTCAACTGCAGGCGGCACAGACGAGGATGTCAAGACCGGGATCGGAAAGACAGCAAGACAGACTTTCATCAATCTGAAATCAGTGAGGAGATCTACTGCACTCAGCACAAAGAACAAGGTCCGGATTTCCAATACCAGTATCAAGTCAGTGCTTCTGTATGGTCCAGAAACTTGGCGTGTCACGAAAAGCATTTCCAACGAACTGCAGACATTCATCAACAGCTGCCACCTACGCTCACTCGATACTGAACATCGATCAGATGGCCAGAATAATAAGAATAAGCAACAAGGAACTGTAGCCGGATAAAGAACCAATCAAGAACCTATCACCCAACAAATATGGAATACCATATATGCTTGAGAATAATGTGCAACAGGTAGTCGGGGAGTAAATTTTACCTCTTACTACATTTTAAGGACAGCAAAATATTCCCTCATATTTATCTAGTAACGCATATGACCTTTCATATTGTAGTTGTACGTACATTCGATTTCAACAAGAACTGGCCAAACTACATACGTGAAATGAATGTTTACTGTTCTCCTTACGAATTGTTATATAATACAGTTTGGAAAGTTCTGACCCGTTTGCAACCTAATATAAGTGTAAAACTTGAGCACTATGAAAGAATTCGATTACATATAGGATTTGCTTTTTTGATTTCTAACACAGTAATACAGTATTATTACTTGATGCATAAATCACTGCCCGTAATCATATCAATGTAGTCACACTACTTTCGATATCCGCTTTTTATAATCCTGTTACCTCTTATTCTTTGTTTCTATTGGTAGTAAACTTTTCCATACGTCTGGTACAGGTGTTGCATCATTCCTATTACATCTGTTGAGTGTTGATTCAATGAACAAAGATTCAGTATTCAAGCTCTGTCTTCACTTAATTATATTGAACTTAAGTACAGTGGCTTTATCCTCCCTATTATGTGATTGTGTGTTAGTGCATGTATTGCAATAGCCGAGCTGTATTTGAGATTATTGCTCTTATTTTGGTCTATTATTCTACATTTAGCTAAATTCCTATGTTTGGCTATTCTAACTGACCTCGACCGACTAGTTTGCCCTATACACTTGACCTCATAGTCATTACATGGAATTTGATAAATTATATTATTTTGCTTAATTGGTTCTATCGGATCCTTAAGCCAGGTGGCAAAGCTTACTCTGAGTTAGTTTATGGGCTTAAACGCCACCCTTATTCCAGCTTTGTTGAGGATCCTACGTAAAGTTTCTGAGGTACCCTCCTTATAGGATAACAATGGAAGCTGTGAATTCTTTTCTACTCATGTTGTCGTTATTATTATTTTGTTTGTTGTATGTTCGTACGAATTTCTCAAACTGCGGAGGATAATTAACTATTGGCGCCTCTTTTTATATGCTTCAGTTCCTTGCACTGACTAGTCAATTTCCTTGCTCTATCATCAAGTTATTTGACTAGACCTATCTTAACTGACACTGGATTAGATGACTTCAACTCTAGATTATCCTCTACAGTTTGTTAAGAATTCGTGAGAACACTAATAAAACTCTAAAATTCTGCTCCGAATAATCTACGAAAAGAAAATAGCATAGTGATTGCTAAGTCTGATAAAGGCAATTCAACTGCAGTTATGGACAAATCGAATCACTTCAACAAAATTGACGAAACACTTTCGAACAGGACCATAAGAAGATATCCGGAAACCTTTAGATACGATCATGAATAAAATTAAGAAATCCACAGACTATCTGATACGCTGACTAAATCCATCTCCAGGTGAGTCAATCGTTTAGTTCAGGTATGCATCGATATTCTAATTAAAGCGGAACAAAATTGCCACTATTAATTGTGGTGAGTTTTATGTTATGAAAACTCTCCTGTAGTTCAGTTGAAATTTTTATAGCTTCCTCCGAGAAGATCTACCAAAAGTTAGCGAATACGTATACATTGTAGAATAAGATACTCTGTGAAAGTGAAGACTACGAAAAATCCTCCAAGTTTCGGAGAAAATCAGATTTGGAAACGTTGATGGTGGTCGCAATTTTTTCATTCTATTAATTCACTTTGCCCTTACAGGGAATTCTAAGTTGTCTGGTGGTAACACATCAGAAATTCACCTAACTATTTGAAACTGGAAAGAATAATATACTCAAATATTTAATGGTTTTCTTCATCCTGCTTTCACAGCGAAATAAGTATAAACAAATATGTAATTGAATCCTTCAGTTGCCTGATCAATAAATTGGTGAAATATCTAAGCTCAATTTTAGAATCCAAAATTACAAGCAGAAATTCAAACAGACTCAAAGGTATTGTGATGGCTGTAGTTCAGATGTATAATTAGGTGAATTCAGTTAGGCAGTGCGTTTGAAATTATTCGGCAGTCTTTTGCTTATTTTCAAGGAAAACTATACAGATATGAGAATTACTACCGGTCGGAAATTGTTTTCATTTGGAACCTAATAGTTAACTAGTCATAGTCTTTTTCACAGTTACTTACGTTGAAGGATTTCGTGTTATTTCAAAGACTAAGGATACCCACTCGTACCATTCATTCAGTGATCATTTTATCTAACGGTAGATGCCACAATCGACGGCAATCTCATTAGTCTATGCTCACTGTTTGACGAAAAATCATATGCCATTGGTTCCCAGTCTAGCAAATTTGCTTAGTTATGGAAATATACTGTTGAACTACGCTATAGACTGTATCTTCTGTTGGTTGCAATATAAGGATGCTGCTGTAATACAGCAGTAATCGTTAGGTCACTTTCCAAACACAGTTTGTTGTGTACAGTTATAAGATGGGAACCACATAAATGTCATACTCTGCTAGTGTAGGTTTTATGTAACTATAAAAATGAATATCGTTAGTTGCGTGATTACTTTAATTTGACTATGAACAATTAACTGTATCCAGTAAATAATATATGAGTATATAATAAATAATATAAACCATAGAGTTAGAAGGTCTACTTTTTCTATAAGATAAATCAAGTCTATGTAAATAAAAGCACAGCATGCACCACATTAGCAAACGTATCCCTGACAAACAATTTAATGTTTACTTATGGTCATTAATTTCTTTGAGATCATCTAACTTAAAACCATTGGAGATCACCATCTCAAATATCTGTACTAGATAAAGTAGATTTATGTTTTAGGAACTATCTACTATATAAACGAAGATCCTTTGCACGAGAGATATTTAACATATATGCTATTACCACTGGGAATTCAAAGCGAAAGCTGACGATCAGAATACCATATAGGTTTAAGTCCATTGATTTACTAGCACAAGGAAACTTACCGATAAGACGTCAATGCTGATTGTTGTTGTTGGCATATTTCTAGTCACCTACTTTTCCGTATTGGCCATGATATCTGCTTCTTCGTTCTGAAAAGAGTAGCATTCAAAAGTTAGTGTTATTTATCCTTCATCATTTAAAAATGTCGTCAAGTTTTCATAACAAGATGCTAATAAGATG